GTCTTTGATAAGAATTGAGCAACTCTTGGTGTAAGAAAACAATAATTTATTAATCATTTCTACTTGAAAGTAAATATTCGATGGCCTTAATGTGTTAAAACAGAAAAAACAAAAAATTTTACAAAATTTATAAATATTGATTTTTTTTCACTTTGCAAATATGTATTAAGTTTTTAAGAAAATAAGATCATGCTTACTAAGTTTTTAGAGAAAAGCTTAATCTACTATCACTTATATTTATAACCAACAACCGATATCTTGATTTTTTAAAAAACAAGTAAGACTTCTATATTCGACTGTGCCGAATCTTATATACATTTCATCATAGTGCCTATACTCTTATATATTTTCATCCCATTAGGATTCTATACAATTCCGAAAATCAAAAACGTCCTATTTGAAGGACGAAAAATGATCAATTTTACGTTTTTAGGTCCAATATTATAAAAGATTTCAAAAGTACCACTATATCAAAAATTACCCCTAATAGATTTTTATCACATCAAAACCCTATAAGTCCGATTTGATGTTTCCTGGTTCAATATTGCATCAAAACGAAAAAGTACCAGTTAAAGGACGAAAACGTACCGAAAAATAGTCCTTGCAAAGTAAGTACCAGAACAAGAAGGTACGCGCAAAAAGCTAACTAACTAAATAACTAAATAACTAACTAACTAACTAACTAACTAACTAACTAACTAACTAACTAACTAACTAACTAACTAACTAACTAACTAACTAACTAACTAACTAACTAACTAACTAACTAACTAACTAACTAACTAACTAACTAACTAACTAACAAACTAACTAACTAACTAACTAACTAACTAACTAACTAACTAACTAACTAACTAACTAACTAACTAAATAACTAACTAACTAACTAACTAACTAACCAACTAACTAATTAATTCAAAAGCTACTCAACTCACAAAACTTTTTTTAAGAAAGGGTAACAAATTTTTTCAAAAATTCTGACACATAAAGAAAGACATAACGGTTTTTTCAACAGTTAACAACAACAAATTACACTGATATTTTTGAAGAGATAAACAAGAATCTTCTGCATAATTAAAGGAAATAAGAAAATAAGTATAATCTGCGATCACTAATATTTTTGATGAAAAATGGCAAATTTTATAAAGTTTTTTTAAGTGATCATAGACTGAACAAAAATCATTAAATAAATTACAATTCATTAATAATATTTCTTGTAATTTTCCATCTCTGATTCATCAAACTGTTAATAAACTTTGTAAACAAATATTTGTTTACATGTTTGCCAAAAAATATAATACTACGCATATTGCTTGTTTACCATTCTAAATAATTTTACTAATTTATAAAGAAATAGACGAAAACATATTTAGAAATATGAGTAAAGTATTTTGTATCTAAATTTCTCGAAACAAAAATGTAATAGAATAGTAAGTAAACAAACTTTCAACATAAAGTACATTAATTGTGAAGCATTATTACACAGTGTACGTAAAATATTGTTGTTATCAAAATCATGTTTGTGGGCCATCAGTAAAACGAAACAATCTCTTCTAGTTATTTTAGTGGGTATTTAAAAAGCTGTAATCAAAACCAATCAATTTTAAGATAAGGTAATAAAAAGTGTGCTTCTTATCGTAGCTAAAATAACAACAAAACTGATAACGGGGCAATTCCAAATGGTACTAAATATTTTAGTATATAAAGTTTTTAACGAAAACAGTTTGTAATCATAAAACACTCAGACAACAAGTAGCAAAGAAAGTAAATAAATAAATTTATAAACTAAAAACAAAATAAATTAAAAAAAAAATATTTAAAAATGGTAAAATCAAGCATAACTTTATTGGTAATTTGTGGCCTTTTCGCCTTATCTGCCGCCAATTCCGTGGCTACTGATGAACAGGATTGTCCTATAGTTTGTCCTGCTCTTTATGCACCCTTGTGTGCCACAAATGGCAAACTTTATAAAGAATTCGACAATAGCTGTGAGTTAAGGGCCAGCAACTGTCGTTTGGAACGTTCGGCTTTATCAAGTAATTAAAGAAATTTCATCAGTTTCTAGTACTTTACTTAATCATAAATATTTTTTTCTAATCTTTAGAATACGTGGCCACTGCTATGGACTGGTGCAACACCGAATATATTGCTGATCTAGATCAATTGGTGAAAAAATTGGACAATTTGGATTTACAAATGCCCGAATGCATGAAACCCTGTGCCATGATTTATAGTCCCGTTTGCATTTCCAATGGTAAATATCGTGCTGTGATTAGCAATGAGTGTGTTATGGATAATTTCAATTGTGCTTTGGCTAAAAAAGGCAAAGAAGCTTTCAAAGTTTTAAAAGGAGGATCTTGTTAAGACGTATTGAAATGGAAAAATTGTTAAAATAAATCTGAATGTCAAGAAAATAAAATGAGATTTTTATTAAAATGGATCAAGTTTGAGTTTTAATTGTTGCTGCAATGTGCAAAGTTCAATGTGATTGACATGACATGAGTCATGAGATAAAAATGGACTTAATGGTTTGATTGAGGAAGTAAGTAGTAAATGCTCGAGTATCGTCTTTATAAAAAATGCATTCGTCGTAGATAAAAAAGGCATTGATAAGCCATGTTTACTATCATCCATAATAGTTCCCATGACAATTCGATCATTGCTCCGGAACGAGCCGAGTCATACTCGGCCAAAGATTGTAGCTGTATCAACCTCAAGTTTTTTGGCCAGGAAAGAACTATCAGCCACAGTCAGACTGTTGCAACAACAACCATCCATAATAGCGAAAAGCAAACTTTCAAGTAGTCATGTTTCCAAATATGTGATAATATTAATCCGGTGTAAGAGTAAATTCTCTTTCAAATGCAAATCAAAATCCTGTAGTTTCGGATTACAGAAAATCCTGATTACATCCTTTGCAGAAAAGAAATCTAATCTTGTTGTGGATAAAAATTTTGACGCTGGACCAGAGTTTTTATAAGTGTCCTTATTCCTTAGTTTAATTATGAATCATGTAACTAGATAAAGGAGTTCTCACAGCCTCACACTCCTCCCTGATTGTCAACTCAGCTAAAAATTTATTAACTTCTAGTTTGTTTTCTCTCGACAACTGTGGAACTGTTACAACAACCAAATTTTTAATATAAAATTTCTCAATTAAAATCTTGAGAACATAATAAACAAGACCCTAGGATTCGTTATGCCTATTTATAACTCATAACTCTTTCACATATACAATATATAACAATATATATTTCTAGGAAACTTTCCTTTAGTTTCATAAATTTCAGGTAAGGATTTGAAACCCATTTTAGTTTTAAGATAACAATATAAGTTTCCACTTCAAAAAAATTACGCTGGAAATTATAGGTCTAAACTTAATAGTATCTTATCTATGGCCGAACTCAAATACCATGGATAATATCATATCCTTCCTGTATTACAACTTGTTTCATATATCTAGTCTGAATATAAAGTACCTATAAAGCTTTAAGGTCCGAAACCAATACCAAAATTGCAATTCGTCGAAACGTCCAAAATATTCCTTACAATCCAATTTATATCAGATTTCCCGACAGTCGGAAGGGAATTAGAGCGATATTAACCGATAAGGTTAAATCTAAAACTTTATTGGACTGTAAGAGAACCATGACCGAATACTATTTCAGTGATAAAACCCGCATTATATGGGTGATAATCGACAATGAAAGAGCGAATGTTGTTGCCAGAAAGGGAAGTTAATCTGACGAATGCAAAACTGTTCGACGAGACATGGGTCGAATTAAACACATACTATGAGGTGACATTAACTACAGCAAAAAGAACAAATCCAAAACAAATGTTTACAGGGACTATACAAAATCGAATGGAATCAGACAAATATAGAGCACGCGATAGGACAATGGACATTTGGAACACTTTCATCAAAATTAGATCCTAATATCAAGGAAGCAATGTTATTCCAAATACTACATCTCTCAGGAACACTGATTGGAAAATTCTAAGGAACTATGTCCATGAAAATTAGTGGATAATTATCATCCATTGTTAAGAAACTCAGAAACTCCTTTGATAGATCGCTATATATGTATAAAGATTTTCCATGAAAAGGAACGCACAACAGTGTATTTTTATGGATCTGAGTATTATACATTCTCCTTTAAACCTGACTTGATGTTGTTATTTGTGGTACATGTTCAATGCCCCCTAGCACAAGTGAATACAGCTTAATTTTGCATTCGGTATTGGTCTGTAGCTCTTTTTAGAATTGCATGTAAAGAATTCTAATTCATCTAGTTTGGCGGTTTCGACGGCCAGAAATTGGCGCATGCGTATGGAACGTAACGACGATAAAAGGCGAACTTTGAATACAAAAAATATTTACCCCTATTTTGCATTTCAATTAGAAATTTTCTCCGTCTGGCAACTTTGGCATATATAAAATCTTAAAGCATGGAAATGGAAGGAATTGCTTCTTCTTTTTCTTAAGATTCCGTAAGAATGTTAAAATTATATAATCTGACGTTTAAAACAAAATTTGTCAACTTTACCCCGATTTGAGAAAAGTTAAATACAAAATGTGTCGCCTTTTTATGAAAGACCCTTTAGGTCAGACATTACAGGGAAGTTAACTAACCCCCTCAGAGTTTTAATTAAAAATATGTTTCCCTCAAATATTTTTCATCGAAATAATATTGTTTAAGTTTTTTTTATCGATCCTAACAGATAATAAATAAAAAATTCAAATAATTTTCTTTTACGATTCAATGTCTTCTTTATATTTATATATTTTTTCATGTCTTCCTTTCTTTTCTTTTTTTGCACTGGTCTTATATTTGTAAATTATATAAAATCTTTCATTAATTTTATATTATTATAACTAACAAATAACTAATAACATTATCACAATTAAATTATTATTGCAAAAACAACAGTTTAAATAAACAATTAAATACTACTATTAACTAAATAATTAAATTATAGCTAAACTAAAGGCGGGTGGTTTGGGATATGATTGGTGGTTGTATAAAAATAAATTTCACTAACATTTTGAGCAACATTAAGTTTTGAGATCCTTATTGATATTTCCGTTAAGAGAAAAATAGAAAAAGCATCAAATGCAGCACTGTGTTTTGGTATAACAGGGTTGTATTAAAAACAACACAGAGTTGTAGTTGAGGTAGGATGATGATGTGGAGGAGGATGTTTATTTGGTTGGTAGGTTTTCTTCAACACATGGTTGCATTTTCTGCAAACTGCCAAGAATTTTGCCAAAACCATTCTCTTAAAGCATTTTCATCGATATCTCCCATATTGTCTGACCAAACGAAGCAACCATCTTCGGCATCAAAATAATTGAAATTTTGTTGCTGATGGGGGTGTTGGTGGAAGGGTGAGAGATTTATATCCATAGTTTGTGTTTGATGGAATTGTGTATGTTGGCAATTGCGTCCATAAACACAATTCGTACAGGTATCCAAGGGAGTTTTATCTATGCTAGCTTTTCTAAGAAATTCCAAAGGTTGTGTTGAAGTCTGTTGTTGTGAGGTGGGGTGTTCCTGTTGTTGCTGCTGCTGGGTTTGCCAAAATTCCGCCAAAGGCAGTTTATGTGTTTGAATACTGCTGCTACTGCTGTCTTCTAATGCTGCTAAAGTATCCTTATTTGAACTGTTATATTGAGAGGCATTGTTGAGATTTACATTGTTTGGTATGGAGCTGTTATTGTCACGTTTGCCATTTTTCGCCAAAGCCGATTTTCGCGACATTAACCGTAATATGGGTTTCCACATCTTTTTCAATTTAAACTTTTCATCTTCAGCTGAGTGGGTGTTGATTTGTTTGGCTGCCGCATTTGAGGTGTTGACAGTTAAATTTGCCAAGTTCTTTGTATCCGTAAACATTTTGAATTGTTGTAATGGATATTGATGAAAATTCTAATATTCTTTTTGAAAGTTGTAGAATTGCTAAATAAAAAAAATTCTTTAATTCCTGTGTGTTGGAAAAAGTGTGTTAACGCTGTGAAAGTTTGTTATGAACTGATGCTGGTTTACTGAGCAGCACTTAGTTTTATATGAACGTCCGACTTCAGTCGATCAAAACATTGAGGAGATCGTATTATAACTCTCACATACACTCTACACGCACACTCAACGTAATTTATACACTTACACACAGGCGCAGACATTCTCTGGGAAACAAAAAATTCACTGACTGACAGACAGACATACAACACAAGAGTGCTGGCTGGCTGACTGGCAGACTGCTGGTGCACATTGTGAGAAACAAACTGCACTTCCCATGCACATTCTAACAGGAATCGTTCGGTTTATTGTTATTGTTGTTTTTCATTTTCGTTGTGTACATTTCCCATGATTTGGTTTGCCTCTGCTTATAACCATGCCTTTTTACCATACCATGGTACGAGTATGATGATGAGTTTGCTGTGTTTGTTGTTGTTGCTGGGGCGACTCAAATAACCTGTAAGGGCAATAACAACACAACGATCGAGCAAGACAGCCATCCAGCAGTAAAAGCAACAAAGAATGAATGCAGGTAGCACACATCGATTGCTTGTCATCGTTCACAAACAGATTAACCAAACGGCAACAGCAACAACAACAATTTATACATTTTTAAAGGCAGCAATGAACAAAAAAAAAGATCCCATATACAGCAATCTACGTAGTACAAGAGTCCCAAAAAAAGTGTGGGAAACAGTTTTTATTTTTTCGTAGTTTGTTTCATTTTCGTTGTTGTTGTTTTGTACAAACTTACCTTCGTTCTGACAATGTTAAAATTATAAGGTTAACAACGATCAGTAGCGTAGTCGGCAGAGGTTGTGCAACAGTGAAGAAATTTCATTAGATTGTGTAAAGGAATGAAGTTCTTTTAGAAAATACTGTAAAGTTAATGCGTGCAACCACACAATCAACTCTGTAAGGCCCGAGAGCAATTCTTGTGATCAGAGCTGTCCCTAATTATTGTACTTCTATTCTTATCGGGATCTCCCCGTAGTTTAATAATTAGTGAGGAGACCAATTGGCCCTTGATACTCTTAAAATTATCACTCCCAAATTTGGTTGTTTCTATGGTCCCAGAAAGAACCATTCAGTGTTTCTAACAAATTTGATTAGATTCGTTTGATACGATCTTGTAGAGCAGGGCATTCATATAAAACCCCATACGATCTGACACGCATCCAATCATATGGCTTGGATAATAAATTTCTATAGAGAACGAAGAGTGTCAATATTATTTTCTATGAATGACAGGGCCAGAAGAATCTCTTGAGTTTCGATTTTTTTGTCGCCTATTCTTCGATCGTGTTCTTTAGTAAGAATGCATTGGTATTTATTAATAGAAAGCTGTCAAGTATGAAGCTGAACTATGAAGACTACCCTGAATCTTCAAATGAGAGTTCTATGCAATTTCAGAATCCTTATTAGAAGTTCCTTATGATTTCAGTGATCTGCCAAAGTCGCTACATTTAGAATTATTTAGGGGAAATGCATCTGTCTGTAGTTTGTATATGGAACTTCAAAATAATCTTAGTTTGATCTTTATTGAGATCGTGTTTCCATTGCAAAAATCCTAATGGATTCATGATTCCATGAGATCTTTTTTGATCTTTTAGAAATGTTGTTTAAGTTGAATGACATCGAAAAGCTCATCAGTCTTTACGTTTTATTTGTTTGTATGAAGAAGTCCATTACGATTTTTCGATATCTGTCTCAAATCCCTAAAACTTTTGAAATTCGTTAGAAATTTTGAAAAAATCGTTTTCCATTTCGATGTACATTATTAAAGACATGTTTGCGCGAAATTACAGAAGATCTGGATTATTGCCTTAAGATTCCTTGAAATCGCTTTCGTATTGTTCGTTTTCCATTTCCCCAAGATCATTATGAAATTCATGATTCTTCGAATTATTTTTTGAAATCCCAGAAATGTTTTGAACTTTGAAAGGGACCAGTATCCAGTTTTGTTTATTCCACAGGTTAAGAAGAAGTCGGGATCAGTGATAGGTTTACGTTTCCTTGAGACCTTTCTCTGAAGTGTTTAACCTTGTTGATTATAATTTATTTTTTGAACTATATTTAGCAACGTTTATGTTGACTGTAGTGCTTAGAGTGGAAATAATCTTGAATAATCACTGCCATAATTGAGATCTTTTCAAGGGTTCAAACGCTTCGAAAAGTTTAGCATTATTTAACAAACCTATGATTTGTATACGATTATATTTTGTTTGTTTCCACTATGAGGGTTAAATGGATCCAAAGATATTTCAGAAATATTAAGCTTCAGTATAACTTAACTTACATTGAATAGATATGAGAGCTTAGGTGTAAATATACTTTCAATCTCTGTGAAAATACCGTAATTTCGGAAATTGAACATTCATGTGATCAATGAAGAATAATGAGAATATTAATTCCTTTCGGGAATTCTAATGATAGATGCAAACAATTTCGATTTCTTTACCACTTTTTTAATGATATTACCTACAGACTTAAAAGTTCAGACGCAGAACTGATAAATTCGGCACAGTTTTGCTTAAAACTACTGACCGTTTACTTGAGGGTTAGTACTAGGGTGATCGACTTGATTTTTCAACCGGTTTTAAAACCGGTTTTTTCTGCTTTACCAGTGTCGGTTTTTTCTTAATGTTGATTTTTCGAATATCGAATAACCCGGTTTTTTCACTTTTTAAAAACCGGTTTCGAATACTTTTATTTGCTTTGTATTCAAAGATTATTTAAATGAAATTTTTAAGTAAATAATAATACAGCCCGCCTAAATTTTAAAAATATTCGAGTCGAGGAACTAGCGTATATTTTTCTAAAGCTCCTTTGGTTAAACATTTTTGATTTTCCTAATTAATTAAAAAAAATTATTTGTAAAATTGATAACTGTTTGATAAACTTTTATCAATCTTAAGATTATATTCCAATTACAATAATTAATTTACGGCTGAAATTTTATGGAAGTGTTGGAATGCCTATGCAAATTTCCTAAACAGGGCTTTTAAAATAAGCTAGGATTACATAGTACCTTATGTTTAACAGAAGTGTCCCACTTTTTTCCTAATTTTTTTATATTAAAGAAATAATGTAAATCAGACGACTAGATCTAAAGTTATAATCTTTTAAACTGTTAAAAATCATTTCGGGCCATGTTTTATTAACCCATTTACGGTCGCTGTGCCAATTTGGGAACACTTAATTTTTAAGGCTGTATTAAAAAACGGTTAACTCTGGTTTATTTATTTTTGCATTATTGAGTAGAGGAAAGTGCTCAGAATAAATATTAAATCAAACAATTTAACTAAATTCATTGTTATTGTTGTAATAATCTACTAAACTTCAGTGGCCAAAAATATACTAAAAACATGTTATAAAATAAATTTGTTAAAATTTTTTAAACAAAGTATGACAGTTATTAATTTGAAACAAACGGTCTAAAAATAATCTGATAACATAGTAATGCCCGTGTCTGCCATTTCACTCTGTTTCTAGTCTCTGTGACGGCTCTAAACCGATAAAAATCGCGAGCTGCATAAAAACGGAAATCCCCTCTAATGTCCTAATTATTAATATTTTTTTTCGTTTCTGCTTTTTTGCATTGTTGAAAATAAATATACCTTGAAGTTTCAAAAAATTAACTTGTACTTTTTGATTGGCTGTAAATGGGTTAATCAAATTTAAACATAAACATTAAGTTTTTCAAATTAATATATTTTTTTTTTTATTTATAATGAAAAACCGGTTAACCGGTTTTTTCTGAATTTGAAAAATATCAACCGGTTTTTTTTTAAATGTCAACTATTCGAACTATTCGAAAACCGGTTTTTGGAAAATGTCGAATAATCGATCACCCTAGTTAGTACCAATCTAAATCCAACTGATTTTGCAAGGTTAAAGAACATATGTATAACTAAAATTAACCTACATGTTTACACACAAGAAAAATTCCAAAACATTTTCTTTAAATTCCTTCACTATTGCTAAAACACCCTCCTCAATAAATATTCTATACCACAACCCTGTTAAATAAAGATTAAATGACGTCACATTAACGAAATACGTTTCAATAACTTGCAGGAAATGTATCGTATCCATATTATCAGAAAAAAGGTTATAAAATATAATATTAATACAGGGTCCAAAACAAAAGAGAAAATTAATCAGTATTGAGAAAAATTTTCTCACATTTCTTAACAAGCAACACACAATAAAGAGCCAATTGGAAAATCTTTTTTGGGACAAATTAAGAAAATAAAATCTTAAACAGAACAATAGCTAGAAATGAACTAATTTCAATAATAAAGAATATTAAAATATAAAGGAATTTAGGTTTTTTTAATTAAAGCAAAAGATATAGGTATTAAATTTCACTTTAAATTCAAAGCTCAAGTTAAGCACACCCTGTATAAGTTTTTAGTTAATTTTAGCACGAAATAACAGGTGGGTGCACTCAGGCTAAAATTCATAATAATTCTATATTCTATCTCAGAATTTCGACTCCTTTCCGCTTTTTATAGCCAACAAAACCTGTCATTATTATCATCATAAACATTCTCTGCTGCAGCAGCAGCAGTATGATATTCAGCTTCTTCCACAATATGGGGCTGCAACATTTAAACAACAAAATACCAAAAAGGAAGTTTATAACTGTGGGAACCAAACATTAAATGAGGAGTAGCTAGCTGACTGACTGACGGACGTACTGCTCTTGCTGACTACCTTAAGAATAATCTCAGCACTCTGTCTCAATCATATCCACCGTTTTCGTCGTACAAGTGCCGTTTATCAGCTGCGTATTACTGCGAACTACAGTAAAAAGCAGCAACAACAAATATCAACAACAATGCAAATATACTACCACGATTACCACTCTATTTCGCCACGATACTCGTTGACCAAGTTATACTTGTTTTTCCCCCAAAAAATCTGAGAAAAAATTAAAAAAAAAAATTATATTTTTGTTTTGATTTTTTACACAAACAACAAGTGGAAAAAAACG